ATAGTCGGGTTCATTGTGCTATCTGCTCTTGCCTTAACTACTTGAGCTTCAGTATGATTTTGCGATTCGGGTTTCTGTGTTTCGTTCACAGTCGTGTTTCTTGCAAAATCAGAGTCGCTTTCGTACACGCTTTTCATGTACGTAAACAGCAGCACAACAAACTGAAGACATGTGCCCACAAAATACTCAGAGATATGGCTTCCAGACAAGAGTTCATTATCAACTGGCTATGGCGACTCAGCGCCCAACAACACACTGTCCACACACACTGGACCACCCTAGACATCCCACGCGGGATGTTGTGCACTCACACAGCACACATGCACGCTTCACGCTAACTGCAACCTATGGCAGCTATGGCTGCCTCTATCCGATCGTTATACTAAACTCCTCTCGCGCCACTGCATCCTCCGGGCTCGCTGCAGACCTCCCCCCACAAGACGCTGAAACAGCGCTTCCGCATGGCTTCCGTGGAAAGGAATGAATGGTTGAGCGCTGCCTCTTGATGTACACTCTGCAGCTTGTTGGTCTGCCCCTCGTGGTACTGGACGGGCCAGATAAAACTGACTGAACCACGCCACTGACTGCACGAGGGCTCGCTGCCTGCTCACTAATATCATACGGAAGACCCACAATTGGTCCACCTCCATCCCACTTGCCTCTAGTGAATAGTAGCGGCTACGGCCTTGACCTTCCAAGACGGTAGCAGCTATTACCTAGACTTCTCGATAGGTTTACAACTTCGACTTCTAGACCAGGTTGGGCTTCTACTAGACAGACTTACGGACTGACCTCCGCCTCTACACAGACCTACGACCAGCGAATAGACAGACAGATAGACTGGGTAAAACAATACAGATTGGGACAGACATGATCTGAAACCAACCAACAGCCTGCACTCTGTACATACCCCTCTACCCAGATATTTGTGTGACTTTGTCTTCTTTGCACCACTCACTCATATTCCTTACTTAGGAATTATTATTATTATTATTATTACTTGATACCAATATTGCGATAACTTGCGATTCCTGCTGGCCCATGCCAGCCCTAAGTGAAGGCGGAGCCTGGGCAAGTCATCATATGCCTGGTCTTCGGCGAAGAAGTGATTCTGGTTACGTGATATAATATGGACTAGCATGGAAGGCGGACTCACGCTGATCGTCATAATCGATAGGCAAGCATGTATTCCTTGTGTCTGTTCGCAATTGGTTGACAACATATGTTTTCCCTCCTAAGTCATTGCTCGATATAAGTCATTGATAGGGTAAGACTATTATTATTTATATTACTATTATTCTTAATAATATTATCATTGACCTTATTGGTGTCGTAAGAGAGGGTGAAGGAGCTGATGTAGAAGAAATGCAGGGTATTGGAGAGGAAAAAAGGACTTATGGTGCCTGTCTCCTCCATCCTTCCCCGTCCTCATCATTTGACTAGTTCTCTCAAAATGCCTACCTCTTTTTCAACCTTAACGGAAGTGTTTTCTATCAAAATAACGCTGGTATTTTGTTAACCTTAAGATTCAGATAATTAATGTGGACTGAGCAAAGATCTACGACAAGGCGATTGCGGGAGCTCTGCCGGAGTTCAGGCGGAACTCTGGAGGCAGGGAACAACAAGGTACGCTACTTCGACCCAGTTGTTGTTTTAAGACATATAGGCTATTATCCATAGTGGTGCTCATAAGGGCAAGAAAATTCATAATCAGTAATTCTTTAAGGATTAAAGGATGGACAGAAGTCTTGGATCGTAAAAAGTGCGGGTAGAGAAGGGCTGACTAGGTGAAATGGCTGGTCAAATGTAACTGATTGCTTCTGGGTACAGCGATCTTGCTGTGTGGACGTTTCTTTGCAAATGTGGATGCAAGGGATCGACTTTTCATAATCTTCTCTCTATACATCACCTAAACAATGATAGGTATCCGTTGATTTGAGCTTGCTATGATCAACTACCATGGATCACACCGATCAATTCTCGTCATGCATATGATCCAGCGTAAATCCTCGAGACTAACAACGATTCAGGGCTCGAATGGCATCAAAGGCAATGACTTGGTCCGTCGATAAGACTTGTGCGGGGTAAGAGTAGTTGGGTCGCATGAAGTCTGCCTTATTAGTGAATGGTCGCATGATAAGAGTAGCAGGGTCTATGAAACTTGCCTTATCAACGACTAGCCAGTGATAAGAGTAGCGAGACTCCATGAAAAAGTTCTGCCTTACCACCGATGAGCGTTACACTGAGTCGCTGATAAGAGTAACAAGGTTCCTTGGATACCCGCCTTAATGATGTCTAACCAGTGATAAGAGTGGCAGGGAAACCTGCCTTATCAGTGACTAGTCTGATATAAGAGTAGCGAGGTTTCAAGGACACATGCCTTATCGGTGATCAGCCTAGCATTCATTCAGTGATAAGAGCAGCAAGGTTCTGGGTGACCTGGCTTATTGATGTCTATTCGGTGATAAGAGTAGCAGGGAAACCTGCCTTATCAGTGACTAGCCAGATATAAGAGTAGCGAGGTTCTGTGACATATGCCTTATCGCTGATCGGTTCTCGCATTCATTTAGTGAGAAGAGTACCAAGGTTCCGGGTGACCTGCCTTATTGATGTCTATTCAGTGATAAGAGTAGCAGGAAAACCTGCCTTATCAGTGACTAGTCAGATATAAGAGTAGCGAGGTTCCATGACACCTGCTTTATCACTGATAGGTTCTCGCATTCATTCAGTGATAAGAGTAACAAGGTTCCGGTTGACCTGCCTTATTGATGTCTATTTAGTGATAAGAGTAGCAGGGAAACATGCCTTATCAATGCCTAGCCAGATATAAGAGTAGCAAGGTTCCGTGACGCCTGCCTTATCACTGATAGGTTCACACATTCATTAAGTGATAAGAGTAGCAAGGTTCCGGTTGGCCTGCCTTATTGATGTCTATTCAGTGATAAGAGTAGCAGGGTTCTGTGAAACCTGCCTGATCAGTGACTAGCCAATGATAAGAGTAGCAAGGTGTCACGAGAAACCTGCCTTATCAGTGACCAGCCATGGGTTAAGCCTGCTGCCAATTGTGCTTCAGCACACAAAGGGCCAAGGCCTACAAGGTTTGCTTTTGCCAAACAGGCGCCAGTAACAAGTGGATAAATCCTGAATGGTTTGCCATACCACCGCTAACTTTCTCCACAATCTCCATCGTTCAGTCCTAACTAATTATCTCTGATTCTACTGAGAGGGGAAAAGTGAGATCTTGCCTCAGAAAGACCGTGGAACATTTAAGTTGATTTCCCTCCATGAGATTCCTTTCCACAAGATTGAATTCGCGATGTGTTCATGTGTGTTGGGAAAAGGAAGGGAAACTTAGAAAGAAAATCCCAAGGAGGATGGGAAGGAGGTAGTTCGAAGGAATTACTGCGTCTCAGGACAAAAGGGGATGAACAATGGTTCATCACCTAAACCAAAAGGGGCAATAGTCCGAACAGATAGTTAAGAATAGAAGACAGACAGAGGGCACAAGTCTGGGAGAAACATTCTAGATCTCGGTTTAGGGAAGAAAGAAGATGTTAAGCTTCTTTTGGACTATGCTGTGTCTACAGGTCTTCGTTACTTTGGAGAACTTACGGGAGAATCCGTAAGAAACTGCAATTCTGTTATCGTTTGATAAAAGGTCGGTAGAACTCCGATTCAACTTCCACCATGGCTTGATACCCACACCTAAGACAAGACCTAAGAAAGGAACAGATGAATCTTCCCCTGTATCTATGCCTAAAATTGTCCGAATCACACTCAGAGGTCGTTGAAAATGTGAAGGGTTGGGGTAAAAGGAGTCAGGTAGGAAGGAATGTTGCTTTTCAAGGTTTGGGGGCGTGAGGGACTTGCCATGAATGGGTTAAAGGTTGACGCTTGTAGCGCATTCTGTGTCTGCATCTGTATGTGTGTATATGATTTCTTGCATCTGCACAGGTGTTGGACATTTGTGCTGTCTTCTGAATTTGGGATCATTTAGGATATTCGGACAACGGGGCACAACAATTGTGAAAGTGAGGTCCACCGCTCATTCAACTCCCCTGATTTACATATATAATTATATATATATATATATATATATGTGTGTGAGAAAGATCGTAGGCTGGTCTGTGCTTAGGAAGTCATTTGTCTGGGACTTCTTTGAGAAGAAATGGGAGATTACAAAGGGGCTTGACTCTGGTATTTTCTCATAAGGTCAACAAAGGAAACGTTGAGTCACTGTCATAGTTAGCTAAGCGTGGAAGACTGTCCGAGAAAGTCAACCTGATTAGATAGTCGGTCCGGGGAGTTAGCACCTCGGGGCACGACATACGGGTCAGTCTTAAGGCGTTCTACCACGCGTATGCTTATGCTACGGCGATCGAGAAAACCTCATCGGTTGGCCTACCTCTGCGACTGCTGGTAAAAGCCTCCGCACGTGGGTCAGTAGCTCAGCAGGGATACGCCCACCTAAGGAATGGTGACAGCTCCCGCAGGTGGAGGTATGTTGTACCTCGCGGGACCCTAACCTGTCGTAGGGAGTCACGAGAGGTATAGCACGCGTGCACGGTCGGAGTTGGTATTTCGTGAAGTGACAAAGAGACTCCTGCGTGACACGACCGTGAGGTCCGACACAAAAACTACTTTGCGTCTGGGTGTGGGACCGCCGCGCACGACAACATTTTCTTCTTGATGGTCGAACCGCTCACCCTCAAAAACTACAAGGCGTAGTTTGACGAGGGGGATCCTTTCGACGCTAAAGACATGGAGGAGCTGAGCGACTCCGAAACCTTCGATTTCGAGTCCATGCCACTTCCTCGGGTGGTTGGACAGGTTGGTGATGAAGGGGAAGGTGGTCCTCGGAGATATAGCACGTCCCCTGCCGGTTTGAAGTATGTGTTTGGACGCGAAACAGTGGACGACCAATCGTCTGATGACGGGGAGGAAGATTGAGACTATGATTACGAACCTTGTGACAAGCTCCTTGGGGACCATGATACCTGGGAGAATGATAGACTTTTCTTCTTCGGGAAGCATCACCAGTTCACGCCGGAGGATGTTTGGGGACACAACATCGTCTGGCACCCGAGGATATTCCAACCTGCTGTAAAGAATGGAAAGTGGGTCATGGCAATGAAGGCAGCCGATGGCAAGTGGAGCGGCATGAACAGACTGGGAGCGGGTCCATTTAAGAAAAAGGCGAGAGATGCTCTAGTGGAGCATTTGAGTCTTATGAACCCCGAAAGGAGCTTCTCGGACGTCACTGCGTATGCAGGCCAGAAGCTCCACGAGCTGTACGATGACAAAATGTTGGAGTTTCGAGCGCCTTTCTACACACTCGAAACGGCACCGTCTCGTGGCATTGACTGGCGCATGCCACAACCTCCATCGGGCGGTCAGCATCCGGGAAGGGGTGGAGGAGGAGACGAAGGAGACGACGGAGGTGACGGAGGAGACGGCTCACAATTTGTCGGGAAGGGGTCGGGCGAAACATCGTCGGGAGAAAAGGCGTCCGGCGGAAAGGGGTCAGGCGGAAAGGGGCCGGGCGGAAAGGGGTCGGTTGGAAAGGGGTCGGGCGGAAAGGGATCGGGCGAGAAGTGGTCGGGAGGAAAGGGGTCGGGCGGAAAGCGTAGAACGCCCGGGAGTCCCGAGTATAGGAAAACTGACAGCCACTGCGTAAGGAGTCGAGATTCCGACATCGGAGACGTGGCCACCCTGAGGACTAATCAAGTGCGAGTAGATTCGCACTTGTCTGCGAGGACTTTGTTTCCCGATGCCGAGGAGAGTCCGTCCCGCCGTGCGCAGCAGAGGTCTCCTATGCACAACACCTTGTTCCTGGAAGAGGGCGAACGTATGCAGCATACGGGAACTGCGTCTTCGTTTTGCCTGGAGGGCGGGATGCCTGCATTGCGAAGGAGCGAAGGTGCGACCGTCAGTTCCCTCAGCTCCGGCGAGCGCCACAAACTCCGAATTGATTCGGAGTTGCTGATGTCGCCCTGGAGGCCTTTCGCAAGAAGTGCTCCTCACGCTACTGTTCCGCGGGGCCAAGAAAATATGACGTCCTACCCCCCGCATCTTCAGTTGGGCACAGGGCTCCCCTGCTCACCTCCGTTCTCATATGTTGAGACTCGAGACTGGCGGTCTCGCGAAGTGCTGGAGGGGCCCGCTGCAGGAGTGTTGGAGACCGAGGGTGGCAAGTACGAACGTCATGCTTCAGAGGGTGTGCCCGTCGACGTTGACAGCAATAGTACAACGGCTCCTGGGGAAGAGGAGCTCTCTTCGGGAGCGCATGCTATACAGCGGGAAGAGGAGACTCGACACTGGCAGTCTCGCAAAGTGTTGGAGACCGGGGGTAGCGAGTATGAACGTCATGCTTCGGAGGGTGCGTCCGTGGACATTGACAGCAAGAGTACAGCAGCTCCGGGGGAAACTCATGCTCTGCAGCGGGAAGAGGAGACTCAACACTGGCCGGCTCGCAAAGTCCTGAAGGGGCTCGACGCAGGAGTGCTGGTGATCGGGACGTCCGAAGAGGTTCTGCACAGTCGCTCGGTTGTGGCCACGACGCGAGAGGGTGTCGTTAAGGGAGGTCAGTGGACATTCGTGGAAGCTTGCCTTCTTGGCGATGAGGAAGGCGAAGAAGAACCCGTGGTGGAAGCTCGGGTTCATGGCGATGAGAAAGGCGGAGAACCCGTGGTGGAAGCCGGTGAGGTTTCGCTCGGCATCCAGATGGATCCACAGCAGAAAGATGATGATTCTTCGCCCACCCGTTGTGGTGAAGAACAGGGTGATCGAGCGTCTGTCCTCAGTACCGGTCAGGAAATGGTACTTCATAAAGCCATCGAGTTGGGTAACGACTCGGCTGCCACCGAGCTGGTTAGCGACTCAGGCGTGGCCGAGGTGCAGAACGTCGAATCCTCCGTGGAAGGTGGTGAGGTGGCCGTCAGCATCAAGATGGATCCAGAGCAAAAAGATCATGATTCTCCGTCCACCCGTTGCGGTGAAGAACAGGGTGATCGAACGTTTGTCCTCAGTACCGGTGGTACTTCATAAAGTCGTCGAGTTGCGTAGCGACTCAGCTGCCACTGAGCTGGTTAGCGACACAGCCGTGGCCGAGGTGCAGAATGTCGAATCCTCCGTGGACGTTCGCACAGTGGCGCGACAGGAGGGCGATTTCCCTCAAAAAGCTCCCGAGCACGGTAATAATTGTGAATAGTAGCACTCACATATGTGTCACTAGCCAGCTCTGTGTTCGTCCAAATTGATGTGATGGGCTCATGTACCTATTACCACTTGTTAAAAAAAAACTTGTGGGTTGTGGGTTGTTTTCTATGTTTTACATGTGTGAGCTTGTCAATGTCCCTGCCCATGAAGCTTTTAAAAGCCGTGCGCGAGAAATGTCTTTCAGGGAGGTCATTGGCCGCTTTACCGAAGAAGTCGTCGTCAAGTGTAGGGTTTTTTAAAAGGGTCCAGATGCCTCGTCTTTCCCAGAGAGCTGTCAGGGTTCTGAAGGCTTTTGGAATAGATAAGGAGGAAGCTTTGCAGAAATATTTGGCTGCGTCTATTCAAAGCGTTACTGCTTTGTCTGATGGGTCTGATAACGATGCCAAACGGGTGTCTTGAAAGACCTGTATCCTAAGTACATCGCGAAGGATACATTCAACAGTCGGGGATACAACTTTTCTGGAAAAATGGCACACAGTTCTTAGCCATTTCGCCTCGGTGATTTTGGTCACTCCTCATACTTGTTCGTGGGTGTTTGTGCAGTTGGGGCTACATCATGTTTTCACGTTTCCTTGCCTACTGAGGAGCTCAGCGCTACAGACTTGAGAATGTTGTAGGACGTCTGCGGAGATTTCAGCAATGGCCACGAGGTGGTTTCCTCGGTTCGCAAAGAGGCTAGTTCTATTCCGTTGAGCAGAAAAAGTTTTCAGACTCTTGTCCAGGGGGGATGGTTTTCCGACGAGGTGGTGGAGTCGTACTTGGCCTTGCTTGGCAACGCTTCGTTGCCTGGGTGTCCCTCTCTTTACATTTTCAGTCCCTTTTTCTATACCAAGCTCGTCTGTGGCGGCTGTCGACATGAAAGGGTTGCGAGATGGACAAAAGATGTCAATATTTTCTCGTACGACATGATCTTGATTCCTGTCCATAAAAATCGGTGCATTGGACCCTATCATGTGTCTGCGAACAACGGCTGGAGTACTACGACTCCCTCCTACAAGACGATGACGGTTTTTCTTCCGATGCGCTTGCGAACTTCACGGAATACCTCCGTGATGAAGCAATTTGTCAATATGGTCCAAAAGCCAAACCGGATCTCCCGGCGCCCAATGTGGTTGTTCATGGTGTCCCTCAACAGTCGGACGGGTCGAGCTGCGGTGTTTTCATGCTCGCCTTCGCTTCTTTTCTTGCACGCGGCCATCCGCCACCATTTCCAATAGCCCAAAGCAACATTCCAAACATCAGGTTGAGGATTGCGGTGGACATACTCCAAGGCTCGGAATAACACCCCTGTTTTCAAAATACGCGAAGTTTTTTATTCGAAAGGCCATAAGCAGAAGTGCGAATTTGTTCTCACTTGGTCTAGCAGTCGGCAGGTTCGAGTTGTGCTATTGTTTTCATAAGGTAGGGAATTGCAGTGGACGTTTCGATCAAGTAAACGCTTAGGTGTCGATGTGAATATCCCAGCCTCGTGCTGCAGCATTTTTTTAAGGTTTCTTTATTATGAGAAACCTGTCAAGTTTACTCGTTGGATTTTCGGCAGCGCCGTGCTGCCTTTGTTTGTTTTCAGGTTATTCTCATTCCTTGCCACGCAACATCAGCTAGAGGGTTGCAACGGACGCTTATGTGAAGTAGACGCCTAGATGTTGATGTAAATATCTCGTCCACGTGGTGCAGTATCTTTTAAGTAGACGCTTAGATATCGGATGTGAATATTGCAGTTTTGTGCTGCCTTTGTTTGTTTTCGGGTTGTTCTCCTTATGTCCTCTACGATAGCGGCAGCGCCGTGCTGCCTTTATTCGTTTCCAGATTGTGCTCCTGTGTTACTCATGGGACATCTTTGTCTTCTTGTGGACATTCTCTATACTCATGCTCGTAGGACTCGATACTCTGGTTCATTTAGCAAAATGTTGGTGCAAGATATCAATGATTTCTTCTTGGTCGCCAAATTGTTTCGTGCTTATCTCTTCCTTACCCGAGACTGTGTGGTGTGAAAGCCCCACTCCCCCCCCCAACCCCGACCACCCAGCTTTCACATGTTTTGGCTCGCCCCTGTTCTGCGCGTATCGCCCCGTTTTACGGTTCACCCCCTCTCCTGTGCCCTCCTCTCCGCAACCACCATCTTCTTCTCTCCACTGAATGCTGACTGTTCGTTCCATATGACAATTGCGAATTTATTCTCAATTCGGAAACCAATTACCGCCTGAATGTATGTGTGCTTGAAGTTGTTTTATGGACTCCTGAAAATTCAGTGGTGCACTAAATGATTGCCAATGTTGTTATCGCCAGAATACATCTCGTACTCTCCACTAAATGCTGACTGTTGTTTCCTTATGACAAATGCGAACATATTCGCACTTTGGATCCATACATTTGTGATAAGACCGTTCATGTCTACAAATTTGCCAAAATAATTACCTTTTTGTTGTCAACAGAAATTTGTTCATAATTGCGAGTTCGGAAAAATAATGATCAATTGTGCTATCGCCAGAATGTATGTGTGTTTGACCTTGTTTGTCGCTGAAGGTTCGATATGARGCGTTCGCCAAAATGGATGATGGGCCAAAATTGTTACCTTCAGTGTTGTCACTGGAAGACTCATCATTTATGCAAGTTCGCAAAAAAATGACATTTTATTTAAAGGTCTTCTGTCTTATCAGAAAAACTGATAAGTCACGAAAACGATTGTCATTTCAGTCATGTCTTGCCGAATGTGAAATAGGCTCCTCCGTCTTGGCAAGTTCGGCATACCGAAAGCGCTTCCTTCTAGTTTTCATATTTTTCCTCGAACGATCACGAACAAATCAACGAAGCCTAAAATTTTCGAAATTTTCTGTGAATTATTCTAAGCGCGTTGCCACTGTCAAATTGCGAGACTAGGTCCGACTTCCGAACAACTGCGGTTGAGCATCAAAGACTTCCCAACAACTGCTAACCTGTGGGACCTGAAGTTCAATTTTGTTTGTGGAGTGCAAAACTCTGCTCAAAACAGATCCAGGTCCAACAGGAAGGGCAACCACAAACCCGCCAAATTAGCTCCAGTGACGAACTTCAGCTTCAAAGACTGTCCAAAAACTGATAACATGCGGGAAGCAATCCACACCCATCACTAAGAGTGCTAATGGCAATCCGTGCATACAACCAACGACTGTTTGACACTTTTTGAAGATGCTCTGTCACCAAACAAATAATGACAAAACTCCAACCTGGCATCAAGGTTCCCTGAGAGTGCTTTTGGCAATCCGCACAGAGAGCCAATGACTGTTTGGCACTTCCTTAAGGTGCTCTGTCGAACACCGATAACTGCGATTTCATTCGTTGTTCAACTAGTATTTGTCAATGTCTTTCTGGATTAAAGCAAGGAGCTCGGACTCTCTCTCTCTCTCTCTCTCTCTCTCTCTCTCTCTCTCTCTCTCTCTCTCTCTCTCTCTCTCTCTCTC